ATATATTCACATTTGATCCCCACACTTTTCAATGTCTCGTGTGGTTGATGAGGAAAATTCTTGTTCACAACAAGGGCATCAACCAGTTGACTTAAATTTATTTTTAAATCCCTTGTTTTATCTTATATTGCAAGAATTTGAAATGTCAATTTTGCTCTATTTCGTGGAAATACATCAACAATCATCAGGAAATTCATGTTGTAGATATAAAAAAACATAGATGAAAGTGAAGTTTTTGAGATCTCATCACCATTATACTTGATTAATTACTCGTGTAAACTACTGAATCAGTAGTGTTTTAATTTTTACAGGTCTGTACGTATCTCGTTGTTTTTTAAAACTCATCAATTTTTTTGAACATATTTGATAGTAATAATAATATAAAAGATTACACATTAAAAATACTTTAAATTAAGGCTTCAATTATGTTCAACAAAAATATCATCATCCATCAACCAATTGCGAGAAATTGAAGTCCACATCAAGGTTGAAATGAAGACGATGCAAGGTTGACAATTGCCAACACTTGAAAAAAATAAAATAAAAAATAAAAAAAAAAGTCTCATGATATATTTATTTAATTAATTAAAAAAATTGTTTTATTAAAAAGCAAGAAAATTTGTGTGAGAATAAATTTACATGGCTTGTCTCTCAAGGTTGGCACCCGTCCTTTTCAGAATATAGACACTCACACTAAACAAAGTCTTGCGCATGGTGTAGAAGCTTGTTGGCTAGGTCTTTCAAGGGGGTCGAGTGGTGGATTGTGATAAGTAAAATAATTTTTTACAAATAAAAATAATAACTAAAAAAATAATAATAGAAGTTGGCTCAAGTGGTAAGTAGCTTGATGTCCTTTATGCGAGGTCTCGAGTGCTTGTGGATGCAGAAAACTCTTGTTGGGAGACTCACCCACCACTGCCAGGTGTGCGACTCGAGTCGACCAACGGATTAGTCGGGGCATAGCTCCGGATACCGTGGCTGGCTACCCAAAAAAATAAAAAAAAATCTTGCGCATGGTATATAATAAAAATATGTATTTATAATTTTATATTGGTAATATAACTCCATTTATTTGTGCAAAAATTGTTTTACATGTTTTATAATATATAATCATCTTTAGTTTTATTAAAAATTGAGATACTATATTTTGCTAAAATATTTGGTTAGGCAACTGAACCAGTACCACATCAAATTTAATCATAGGCTATTTTTTTTTTTAAGGAGATTAAATTTGATAAATCAACTTCAATCATAGTACTTAATTAAAGGCTATTTTTTATTTTTATTTTTTAAAGGAGATAGATTTGTGAATGAGGATGGATACATATGAGATGAAAATACTATGATTAAATTTTATGTGGTATAATAAATAGTAATATAGTAGGTGATAAAAAATTATTGATTAAAATATGTGAGTGATTTAATAGTATATATATTTTAAAAATATATTATAATAGTTACCTTTTTATTCTTAATTGTGTTGGTAAAAATTATATATAAAAAAAAAATAATAATAATCTGTACTCGTACGGACAATTTTTTTTTAAAAAAAAATATATATTACGTGTTGAATAGCGAAAAAGGATTGGTGGTGACGGCACGCTAATTAATAATCAATCATTGAGCCACTTTCATTTTTTCAATTGAAAATTAACTATATTATATCTTATTCATTTCATTATTTTGTTTCAATTGGAATATTAAAGAATGATAATCAGTGCACTCACATTGTTATTATTATTATTATTATTATTTTTTTTTTTTATCGTTGGTGCACTCACATTATTAATCAACAATAATGTTGTCCGCAATATTATACATCCTTATAGGTATGCTTTATGATGAAATATGGTGATCACTGAAATTTGGTGTCAAACCAGGGCAATACGAGTGCGGTCCCACACAGGTGAAGCGCACCATAAGAGGGTTAGCCCAAATGAAGCTCAAGTAAGATTACATCCCAAAACCAATTGGTGATGAGAGGAGTAACCCACTAGACTTATAAACTATGCTCATTGACCCTATCAAATCAATGTGGGACAACTCACAAGTGATATTCCCAACACGCCCCCTCACTTTTGAGCCCTTCATAGCCCACGCCTCCAACTAGGCCAGGTATAATTTTCAGCCCACGCCTACAACCAGGCTGGGTAGTTTTTTTTTTTTTAGGTCCCAAATTAGGCCTTCTCTGATACCATGTCAAATGGGGGCAATACAAGTGCGGTCCCACACAGGTGAAGCGCACCATAAGAGGGTTAGCCCAAATGAAGCCAAGTGAGGTTCCATCCCAAAACCAATTGGTAGTAGGAGGAGTAGCCCACTAGGCTTATAAGTAGGCCTATTTACCCTATCAAATCAATATGGGACAACTCATAAGTGACATTCCAACACATTTTATTATTTGTTTTGTGGTTCAAAGAAAAAATTTTAATAGATTGGTCATATATATTCTTTTAATAAATTTGACCTATTCTTTTTCTCTCTCTCCTATTTCTTTTAGCCAAAAATAGAGTTTTTCGATGAAATTAGAAGTCTTACCGTCTCTGTCCCTTTGGCCATCGTCCACGAAATATGGTTCGTTCTTCACTTCATCTTGTCGCAGTTCACAGCTCACGACCTTCTGTTCAGGCTTGAATTGAGTGAATGTTCATGTGTTTTTCTTTTTCTCTTTCATTCAAGGTTTAATTGAGGAGCTCAATGCCTTGATGAGAAGATGGCTAATAGTTTATATGTTATCTTTATTTTATTAAAGACATTGTGTTTTGTATTTGTGCATCTTAACTTGTAAAGGTTTGTTTTGAGACTAGCAACTTTACTTGTAGTTTATCAAGTTTAAAAGGGAGAATTAGAGTTTGTGTACAATATTTTTAGATATTCTTCTTTCATTCTAATAATTGGGATTTTTTCTCTTTTCACTTTTCTCTCCTCTCTCGACTGCACCGAATAACTTGTTCATCGCATTCATAATAGTGGTCGATAACATGAGGTCAATCCTACATTTCTTGGAGACGCTGAAGACATGCTGACTCTTGTTATAGCTCTGTAAAATCATGTTATTTCATGGATGTCGAACCTGACTTCATCTTCAATATTTTAATGAGCTGGTAACCGCTTTGAAGTTTCACAATTTTAGAATATGAGAGTATTTGTGTTGCAGTCCTCTTTGTTTTTAGGTCATATCCATGGCGACTGTGTTCCACATTATGGCTCACGGTGGCGATAACAATGATACTTAGACGTTCGAAGAGGAAGCCATTGTTCTTCTATTAATTATTTTTGCGTTAGTATTTTGATGCTTTGGTGTTCATCGTGTGATTCTGTTTGAACAATCTTTTATCTCTATATTGGTCGAGGTTTGATGTGGTCTAGTTTTGTCGAATGCAAATGTGTTTAAATTAGAGTTTTGTCATTGAATAATAATAAAAATATATGGAAATGATAATACAATATTTAAAGAGACTAACTAATGAAGAAAATATTAAAGATGAAAAGTGACTCTAGTTTACATGGACATATGAAAACACCTCATCAAGGTACATATAAATTAAACTTGGTCACATACACACATGTAGAATAGAACTATAGCCCTTAATTTTCATGTCACATTTCCCTTTCACAAAATCACAAATCAAACCCACCATCTCTTCTCCTTATATTTTTATCCCAAATTCTCTTCCAAGAACCTTCGAACT